GTTGCTGACTTTTTGTATTTTTTCCTGTTTCATGTGTCCTGTACACTTCCTCCCTCCCCCCCGCTCGATAGCAAAATTTTGGGAGAAAAGTAGGAAAATTGTCGGGGAATTCCGGAAAAACTGGTAGGAGCTCTGGGGGAAAAAAGAAATGGTAGAGAGGGGGGTCGTGTTTCCCTCTCGATCCTTCGCTCGACAGCTCGATGAGGAGGGAACCAGTGAGGTCGTACCAACCCCTTGAAAAAAAGGGGGTCGGGGTCGTTTGGACTGGACCAGAGTCTCCAACTAATGATGTGCCCTGTTTCACGATATCACCGTAGCTCACCTTTTCATTTGCACCGCGCTCTGGGTTTTTCTGAAGAAGTGACCCATTGGTTTTCAAGTAACTTTTCAAAGTTAACCCACCTAGAGCCATAGAAACTTCCTCAGCCTTCAGCGCTGCTTAGAACGATCCATGCTGTTGCAGGTTGGGCAGAAACGTGGTTTCACGATAGCGAATCCAGGTGGTCGTGCCGCTGAGTGCAACGTTGTCGTCATCGGTGAGTGAAGCGCTTTACTTCTCGTCGGATGGTTGCTGCAGCTCCTGTATTTTCCACGGCTGACTTTATCCTTTGCGGCAACCATCTGGCGATCCCTTCAGTGTCAGTGTTGGTCATTCCTGGGTTTGCTGCTCTAAGTTTGTTGTCTTGGGTTGTGGGTGGTCTCTCTGTTGGTTTCTGTTTGTGGAGGTTTCTGTGTTATGTGTGTGGTCTGTGTTATGTGTTTGTCCCCATGGTACAGCTCCAAATGGTTCAAAACTTCCTACTACTGTTACTGCTACTGGAAAAGAATCGTTCTACGCAGAGTTTACGCCGACAATGAAAGGTGCGTTTGATCATTTCAACTGCCTAGATTTTCAAGAAGAATCGAAATTCGAAGTTTCAGGTACACATGAAATAAGTATATACTCTGATAAAAAGAAATTAAATGAAATGCCTATCCTGTTCCCTGTGGGAGCCGGGAAGATGTCGGTTCCCGTCAGCATGTCTTGTTGGAAGGATGTACTCATTTGACAGTAAGTTTTCTGTATTTTCATTACTGCTATGTTATCCGCTAATGAAGGTTTTTAGTTGAGGCTGAAGATAAGGACTCAGTACGGGTGGATATTCGTGATCCTCGTGGACGACCACTCCCTGTTCAAATTGAGCAGTTGCCTGATAAACATGTTCGAGCTTCATGTCGTTTCAGAGAGGTAGATTGATTAGTTCTCTATGATCTTATGATCAGGCAGAATGAAACTTGCGAACCGATGCCGGTCAGGAGATCCGCGTTGCGGCGACAGTGATGTCGCGCGCGCAATGTACTCATTAATTGCCGCAGCGAAACTTAACTTCTTACTCTCACCAAAGCAAGACCCATTATTTCTTACTGCTTTTCTCAGTGATGAGCATAGAGGGGGCGTGCTCGGGCTTTTGCCACGCTTCTTCTAAGGGCGCGTGCAGGGAGCTGATACGATCCTTTTTCCTCTATCAAACCCCTCCTCCATTGTTTTGAAAAGCAGTGGTCACGGATGGCTGGGCGCAGGCGATGACTGCTAGTGTCATTGTGGAAAAGGCTGCGGAGGAGACTGTGTTGGGCACATCCCGCTTTCGCAGCTTGCACCAGTGACGTTGGCCACCCCTCCAGCAATCGCTGTTCCCGCTGCCTTTGTGGCCTCAAGTTATACGTAGCCTTGGCCAAAGCTGTCGTGAGTGATATTGCCACGGTTCAGTTGGGGCGGTGTCCGCGAGCGGTCTGGAGTGAGCCCGCTTTCGGATGTGCCTTTTCTACCAATAGTTCATCGGTGCGGTGATCGATTAGAAACAAACGACCAATGGTAGAAAACACCGTGAGTGGACTCATTCTATGCCTCCTGACACCGCCCCGACTGATTGCGGCGATATCAACTGTATGCATGCCTAATGGTTAGTTAAAGGTGGTGTACTGTAACATTGGACAGTTCTCCATTGTATTCCACTACAATGGATTTTCTTCCGATGCCCTTGGATTTAACGTTGGCTTTGGTCCAACTGGCTCTTATGCTTGCCTTCAATGATATTGTGGTCGTCCTTGACGGCAGATTTAGGATAAAGATGTCACACGAATTGACCACTGGTCGCCAAGCATTCCGGTTAGCGCGAAGCGATATCATTCGCTTATTGCAACGGCTTTTTAGAATATTTTTTCGGGAAAAGTAGGAGTTTCCCCATGTGGTACTGAATATTTTTTTGATTTTTCGCTGTAATTAGGATTAAAAAATTTGCTTGAGTTACTGTAAGGGTCTCCTGTCCTATAAATACGTGATTACAGATCGGTACACACACAATTGAAACGTTCATCTCGGAGCGTCCGATCGGTGACAAAGTGCAACAACGGGTCGTTGATGCAGTGAATGCCGTACAACTCGTATCGGAACTGAAAAAGGAGGTGGTCAGCGAACGTGCCGAACACAAAATACTCATTGTATCCGGTCTTGAAGAAGAAGTTGACGTCACTGTTCGAGGTGCATCTTCTTTTCCACGTGATTCGTCCAACTTTTACACCTCATTCACCTGTATCATCTGTAGTCCCGTTGAAAAGAATTGAGTGGGTGCCAGCAGGGTTTCTGTTCGTCCCGAGTAGTCTACATAATAATCTACATCGAAGGCGGGGTGTTATTTGGTCGTATTCGATTAATTGAGTGAACGTCGTATTTAGCCTGGCGCACTATTTTGGCCTTTTCTTGTTGGTCTCTCGCGTCCCAGTCGCGTTACAACTACCCTTTCCTTCCCCAGCAAGGTGCAGCATGGTGATGTGTGAAATGGTGGTGTAGGTACGACCCCCCCCCCACCGGTCTCGGTACGACCCCCTCACTCAAGGCCAAATGCAACCACCTCTTCAGCGGAAAAGTGCGGCCTGCCTATGTGTTTCACACAACGTGCTGTACCTGTTCCCCATTAAGTGTCTCCAATACAATTCTTAACAGCTCATTAGACGTATGTTCTCCCTCCCCTTCCCCTACACCGTTCCCTTCTTGACGGGTTTCGTGGGAAGGCTTGTAAAGTCTTTGCAATTGCTCAATCCCTTTTGGGATGCGGCACGCATTCTACTTCCATTCAGAATCGTAGTGGCTTATTGAATGCGATGTGGCCTATACAATGACTTGCGGGGGCCAGCGATGTGCAAAACTTATCGTTATTCTCCCAGACAATTCTAGTAATATTTTACCGTCCCTGTGGCTAGAACGTCTGGTGGTGGTGTACGCGGGAGCCGATCCGGGATTTTACTCCCGGACCGCGCGCGTGCTGAGCGTAGCACGGTGTCTTCTTTATTGCCCACCGTCGGCCTCTCGGTAATGAGAAGGATTTTCTACAATCTAGGTGGTGCTCCCCTTTAGTCAGTTAGGACACGCAACCACAACCGTGTTCTGTGCCAGGGACACGGCAGTTACACCTTATTTATCCACCATGTATCACTCCGAATCAATAATTAGATTTTTAATCGCGATCATAAACGGTTGCAAGTCGTTGACCGCCATAGCAAGCTGCAGTCTCTGACACCTCTTGGACTGCTTCATGGTTACCCAAGGTAATTTCATTTAATTTCCTGTTGGTAAAGAGAAATTCTTGTAGAAATACCCACATCGGAAACTTGAGGTCCATATTCGAGTCCTGCTTGAGTTCCAGTTTTTTACCCATAACTTAGAATTCTTAAGACACTTCGAGCTGCTTGAACTGCATCAGCCGAATAGATGGTAGTTATGGCAAATACAAATAGAAGGCCAAAAAACATCTGAAGATGTTGATAGTTATGTTGAAATTACGCTATTGATGGGTATCAATGACGCCTTTGACCAAATCGCCAAACACTAGCCACGACATTCTTACTTCCACCACATACCAGCAACTGCCAGATGAAAGGAAAACAAACCAGAAGCCTAGCGCACCAAACAGCAGTAAACCGATGCACTTTCCGCCTATTGTCACTAGAGGCAACTCGATAGAGAGTAGCCACGGCATTATGTGTCCAGTCTGCGCTTGAATTTACCTGAGTTCTTCGGGAATATATTGTGATTTTATCTTTCTTCCTGAGGTGTTCTCTTTTATAACTTACTGAATTTAAATTGTCTACAAAAAGGAATGGATAAGCGTAGACTCTATTGTCATTTTTTTGAGTTGTGAAGCGTAATCGAATGTTGTGTCGGCCAAAGCTGGGACAGATTCTGGCAGCGTTTTTTGTTTCCGCCCTTTTCGTTATTCCCGTCCGAAGGTTGCTCGTTCGCCGCTTAAACACAAAAGCTATCATTTATCTCTTACGGTCATCTGACAATCGTCGCCTATTGATTGCCTTTTCAAATTTTTTTTTGCCGAAAAATATTTCTTTGCGCAATTTTCTTTCGTCTAGAGGGCTTGTACCTTAGCATAGCTTTAGCGAGCGCGGTTCGCAGCGCTGCCATTTATATACCCGAGGCGGCGAGGGGGGGAGGGGGTGTAATTCACCCAAATGAACGTACGATGTACTCTTATTTTCAAGTCGAAGAGTTCTTCTATTGTCTCCTGAAAATGCCTTGAAATGAGGTTGGAGGGTATTGCAGCTAGAAGGCGTTCCGAACTGATACCGCCTGCGGTTTATAGTGGCCTGACCCCTCCGGAGACTTGCACACGCCCCCTCTGGAGTACCATGGCTGGCAAGGCCTAGCCGAAAATGAGCTGAAGAAAATGAGGGATAAAGTCTTGAGAACCGTTGAATTTAATCCCTTAAGCGGATGCCGGCCACGCATTCTACGTCTGGCCCATCAGCAATCGTGGGCTGGCTTACTGAATGCGATGCCGGCCTATACAATGAGCGTTAACGGGGCCAGCCGGGGGCTTCCATGTACTAAAGTTTTCCAAAGAATCCCCTTTGGATCGAAATCTTGCCGGCGGTACCAATTTACCTCCCCAAGCGCTAGGGAAAGCGCTTGGTTGGCCTGGGCTGCGAGTCGACCTGGGATTTTTTGGACCAGGCACCCGCAGCCGACCCAACTTTGAAGACAATCTACACACACCTCATTTCCCAAATTGCAACTCTCTGCCACATTTTGCGCGCATTTTTGCGTGACGGTGATAGTAATTGTATCGTCGGCCACGTTCACCACGCCAACAAGAGAAGATCAGGATCTCAGAGAAGAGAGTACAGCGCATTTTGATGTAAGGGTGTGAAGCCGGCCGCCAGCACCGCTTACTGCAGTTCAAAAGCTATGGGTTACTTTTGACAATAGCTAAGTATTCTTGTGATAACTTCCGGACCGCGAACTGCGGCGCTACACAGCAGTTACCATACCAAAACAACTACTGTATGTACAATTGGTGCTCTTATTCCCAGACAGTCCAATTATTCTTCCTCTGTGAGCTGGAGTAGGATGTGGAAGGCTTGGTTGGAAGCGGAAGAAAAAAATTTCAAAATTTGACAGTAGTATTATGCGCACGATAAGCAGCGCCACGTGCTACCACATCTCCTCCAGCCACTGCGTCAAAGCTCAAACCGAAGAAAATATGCACGAATGCTTGAACATGAACAAATCTAATGTGTTCAGTCCGAAGGCGGTCACGAACTGGCAATCTCAGTCGCTGGTATGCCAATTGCTGGCTCACCATTTCACGTTCCAGTTCTCGATCCATCGGCAGTGAGAGTAATCGGGCTGAGAAATGATCGCGTCGGTGTGGAACAACATTTTAATGGTACGTTATTCTTAAACGAAAACCCTTTCTGACATCGTTACCAGTAGCCTCCCTTTTCAGTGGACTACACTCAAAGTGGCGCTTTGTCGGCTTCTGTGGAAATTCGACGTGGCTCACAATCAGTGCCATGTAGCGTGAAACGGGTCAAACCTGGCCTATTGATGTGCTCTTTTACACCGACTGTAAGCGGTCTGTATATGATCGATGTTCATATCGACGGACTGATCCTTCCAGGCGAGGCGTGAAATGCATGTCTCCGAGTGATAGAAGCTGCGTTTACTTCCGAGTAGCGCGTGCTACGGAACAAAAGGCGTGCCAACGAACATGAATGACATACGCAGCATTCGCGCTGGGACCCAACCCCTCTAGCGTAGCAGTGCTGCGGCCGCGTCGGTTTTCCCGGCTCTCTTTGCCTCTACGTCTCTTAAATCGATTAGCTCTCTCTGTCTGTCTGGTTCAAAAGCCTCAGGAAAATAACTCGTGGCATAGATAGCGCGCGACGCCACGACTCGCAACTAACGCCCGCCCCTAGTGCCCCCACCTATTTTACCTTTTTTTCAACGCAGGGGTGATTGATGGGGGGCGGGGGGAGAGATTACACTCCGATTCTCATTTCATCTGCGTCCTCCCAGTGAGATGGTGTTTGGCGGGACTCGACTAGAGCGAGTGAGAGCCCAAACGTGCAGAAATTGGGCGCGGCGTGCTCTCGTCTATTGCCCATAGCTGCACTCCATATCACGAAAATGGAGAGGTGTGACCGCGTACTTCCATTTCGATTATGGCGGAAGATCTCTTTCCGGTGGCATATTTCCACTCGAGACGACTGTCATCCAGTTTTGAGCTCAACAAGGGCATGATTACAATGGTCTCAAAACGGCGATATCCCAAGCAAAGCGTAACCGCCGCTACATTCACATGAAGTACGCAGCCACGCCCTTCCTATCCCGTTCCATCCAGGAAATGGCTCGTTTCCCCATTGGGTACACACGCAATGGGGGAACCAACTTCTCACAGTCAAAAAAAAACACCTTTCTTGTTCCTTATTGCTTTTTCGAAAATGTAGTATTCACTTTTCGGGTGTACTTATCAGCCCTTTGAAAAATCTTTCGACGAGTTACGAACCATGTTGCAGGTTTATAAAAGGCCAAGAAATGAGAGCGACGCTAAATCCGGCCCTCTACCCGCAGCTAGGTACTGCCAAGGCGTAAGCTTGGGTGTACTGTGTGCACTTACTGGTTCCATGCGCTTAATTTCACGCTCAGTTTTGAATACTGTATCTCGCCCGCTTTCCTAAACTTGTAATTCAATATCATGTGGACATACCTTAGAGCTTGTGTAGCTGATTGTTTCATTGTTCAGAGTGTCCGTACGAGTGCAACATCAGTTCCTTGGGAGCGGTCCGCGCGTGCGGTGACGCGTTGCGTCGCGCACAGCGTGGGCGTGTAGCTCGCTTTGAGGTGTCGCTTAATGACGCGACACGTGGTGAGCTTGACGTGATGATATCAGGTGATGATCACATCATTTACCAGTTACTTTACTATGTAGTATAGTAATGTTTTCCATTCTATTTCAGGCTGTTCCCACCTCATGTGCATGTTGTTATGTGTTCTTGTGTGCTTTATGTTGTGTGTCCCACCCGCAAATATTTAGCAAATGATTAGTGCTTATTAGGCGTATTTAAGATCCCAATGGTGGACCATTACCCGTACGATGTTATCGACAACAAGACGACAGCTATTGGGTTGAGTTCACCCCGGAACAAACTGGTAATTGGATGAAATATCTACCACTGTACTCTGGGATTGCTAAGGAAAATTCTTTTTTACAGGTACCCACACAATTGAAGTAACGTTTGGCGACGTTCCTGTGGCTGGCTCACCGTTCCGTTGTGAGGTAGTGGACCCCAAGAAGGTCAAAGTTAAAGGATCTTCGACGGTCTACATCTTCGCCAATGTTACAACCATCAATGGTATGATGTACTTTTCTGTTGTATTTTTTGGCATGGGTCAGGAGATCCGAATTTTGGGCACGTGATGAAAGCGGCGTAACAAGCGGCTTTGGATGCGCGGCATTCGCACCAAAACCTAGCTGGTCTGAAGCGAACTGCTTCAGCAAACCAAATCAGTCTGGATTCTAGTCGTGCGCGGCCAGTTTATTTCTGCATGTTTGCTCGCAAGCCCGGATCTGCCTGACCCACGCAGCCTCGAGGTTAATTGTATTGGCCACATAGGAGGTCCCCTTCTATAGCTGCGGTTATGAATTTTTAGTTGACCGTCGGCAAGCCGGAGATGGAGATTTAACAGTTGAAATATGCGATCCAACAGGAACACCCCTGAAGGTAGAAACCCTCAAATCTCCCAGTGGTGAGGACAGAATAACCTTCCTTCCGAACCAAACTGGTCCACACAAAGTCAACGTGAAAGTGGCTGGATTCCAAATACCGGGTAAGCCGTTTTTTCTCAAAATAAGTCTAGTTTTTATTTTTTTTTCATAACTGCACAATTAATGCCGTAATATTTTCAAGGATATCCTCAAACGATAGTGGTATCTGAGCAACCTCAACCCAGTGTCTATGGTGCAGCTGTGGATCATTCCATCAAGATAGATGAGCCTGCCAGTTTCATCTTTGACCCCAAAGGTGCTAACGGCGGACTTAAAGTCAGCGTAACTGGTCCCAGAGAGAACAAAGTAGGTGACAGGTTTGGTATCTTAGCTCCTGCCGCTTATAAATGCTTGTTCAGGTACGACATAAGGTGATAAGACGACCTAATGGCACATCAGAAGTCGTGTTTTCCCCGGAAGAAGTTGGAGCTCATATTGTGAATATCGACTTTAACAACAAACCGATTGCCGGTAAGTAGGTAACGCAGTAGATAAAATGGCCACCTTCTATCAATCTCTTTGCGATGCGCCTTGTGTTCGAATTTTACAGGCAAACATAGTAATACTTGAGTTCATTTGCACTTCTGTCTAGGAGATGAGCAGAACGCAACTGCGTACTTCATTTGAACGTGGATTTGGCTGCGCTTCTATGGGACGTTTTCGTTTTAAGACAAGCAAAACCATATCTTATCCCATGAGGAACGCATCCTGCGTCATCTTCAAATGGAGTACGCAGCTACGCCCACTCCATCCCCGGATATGGAATGTATGTAGTGTCAATCGGTTGTCAGCGAAAGTGCAAAAGACGAAGGGAGGACTCGGAAAATTAAAAATGCCCAAAAAGTGGACAAGACTTTCTATGGTGAGACCTGCCCCTTCCCTCCAGACCGATAGGCCAGCGTTTCAGACTTCGCGAC